TACTCATGACATAAGCTTAAGTTCAAAACGTTGAGGAGCGCGCGCTATTCGTTCTCGATACAATTTCGTTATTTTTCAGTACACAAATAAAAACTATCTTACCTTTCCCCGCACCGGTCACTAAGGCACGCTGTCCTTTAAAATTGATATCCATGCTTTTTAGTACAGCGACGAATTAACAATATTTCGCGTGTGATTTGCGATAGTTCTGCGCGGACTTCTTGTCCTCAAAAAGTCGAAAAGCCCTGGGTATGAGGTAAAATCGTCACTGCTCCGTGTATGGACCCATGAAATGTCCTGAATATCTCTTCCTTTTCCCTCCACATGTTCTTCCAGTTCAAATTTAATATCTTGCCGGTAGACCGACATGAATGTGCAATACGTCACCGCAACTTGCTATTGCTAAATTTCCGTGAGATTCCCGTGTTGTGCAGAACATGGGAATCTCATGGAAATTTAGCAATAGCTAATAGCAAGTAGATTTCGTATGTTGCCCGGTATATAGTGTCTTTATTTTCAGTGCCTACTGGAAAACCCCTTCTTTTCGTCTTGCACCCAACATCTCATTTAATTTTACATGCCCATCCCTCCACTAAATCTGAATCCCACTTCAACCCAAGGTCCCTTCTCAAATCATCCTTCCACGGCTATTTCATCCCTTCCTTGTTTTACTCCAATTGTTTTATTCCACTAACTCAGCCTCTCATTTTCCCTTTTTATTTTTCACTACTCCCTTTCACTACTCAGTATTCTCTCTTCCCCATCTTGGCTCCATCTCTCATCACAGACAGTCCAAGCTCTCTCTATGAACCACACAAGCAACACGATATGGCATTGAATTATAAGGGTTTATATGGGATTTTTTACCTTATTCCATACGTGTGTTGTAAGAAGGGAAAACTGGAATTAAAAAAAGTCGCTTAAATCAAGTTAAATCAGCAAAATAACCACATCAGGAGCAAACAGCACATGTATGGAATAATGTAAGCCCCCCCCCCCCTTCACCCCAGGGGAGGTACTGCCATATATGGGTTATATAGGTATGTGCTGCTGTGAGCGGTATGGTTTTCAAGCAGTTTACTCTATCATAGGGTATATAAATCAGGGTGTTTGGGTCTAGAATAGGGTATCATTTTTCACGAAACTGGCCAGTTGGTTAAAGACTATCTAGACTAAGGAAACCAGGATTGAGGAATAGCCACTCAAATGTATAAAAAAATGAAATCGGCAAGTTTAAATTTTTGCAACTCATCCTCAACAGCGGCAATAAACGACTATCATAAAACACTACTGGATATTATTAACTGTCAAAAATCGGGATTCAGACGGAAATCGATGGTTTTAATACTGGTTACTCTAGTATAGGGTAGCAAAATTCAGCTGAACTACCTCTGGTATAGGTTAAGGGTCCCAGGGTCCCAGTGGAACATCCCCACCCAGAAATTCCTAAATTACCCCCCGGGTAAGCCATTTTTATTGAGAATTTTCACTTTTAACTACCTCCATGGACATCTTGTAGAAAATCCCATATAAACCCTTATAATTCGATGTATTATCGTGTTGCCTTGTGGTTCATCATAGAGAGAGCTTGGGCTGCCTGTGCTCTCATATGCATTCCATCCCCGCTCTAGTACTCTGGAGGGAGGCATGGCAGAGGTAAGTACAAGGGATGGGATCAATATTTACGAGACTACTGGCTTATTAGTGTTGATGAGTAACTTTGGTTCTAACGCAAAGGGATTTATTTGTACAACTTCACCCATCCCCTCGCCCCTGCCTGTCAACAAGTGGATATTTCAAGGAATGAACTTCCTCGTGCCAAGGCCCCGCCGGCTAAGAAAGACACGCGGCCCCGNATTGTGTTCGACTGAGTTCGGCAACTGAACTCAATCATACATGAACAAAGATCATGTTATGTGGTCTAAAAAACATGAAAAACACTCACTATAGCGAAGTAACATGAGCCTCAAGGAACTTGTTTATGACTTTCAACACCAGTTTTTCAAAAATCAAGCATTTGGAAATCTTTTTGAAATTTCACTCCCTGCCCTCCCCCAACAATAATCCAATCGTTATGGACAATCTCTTACATTTGATTTGCTTGTAAAAATTTTCTTGAGTGATTGTTGGAACATATTTGCGCACATGTTGATGTTACTATGATTCATACTTGAAAAAGCAGACAGTAGATAACTTATCAAAGTATCTGTATTGTACTTACATTGTATCAGGAAAAACATGAAACAATGTGATGATATTGGAGTACTGAAAGACTGATGGTGGACTTCAGATACAGCTGCTGTACATATATTAAAGGTAATTTTTGGTATACATGGGAATTAGGAACTGATATAGCAGCTACACGTACCACATGTAGTACTGGTTAGAATTCTGTCTCCTGAGAATTGATGATGGGGACATTGCCATTTTTGAACATGACATATCTTATTGTAGAGATGTCAGGACTCCTTTATCACAAGTGTTAAACTTATCTTGATGTGTTAAAGGACCACCATCAGCCAGAGTGCATTGCTGATGGCAAGCTCGCCAGCAATGCACTGTGGTTGATGGTGGTCTTTTGTTTTCTGCATTACAGTACAAACATGAAACATTCTATTAAAGAGGATGTCCGCCTCGAAAGGAAAGCCACCATATTGTTTGGTTTACAAAATCAAGTAAACAGTTGATCATTCTTTCACCAGCATAACTATCCTCAATGTTGTTCGTTACAATGAGGGAACTTCCTTGGCTCTCATCCATCTTCACGGGGAAATTTCCTTGACTTTCCACACAAGTTCATGACAAATCAAGATAACATGTGAGGCATTCAATAGCAATAACAATAAAAGAGGCACGCAAAGCACACAGAGCTTATTTACCTGGAGAAAGCAACTTTGTAGTATTTCCGATGCAGTGTTCTTTACACATGTTTATTTTTGGATTATTTTGTTTAGTCCCGGAATGTTAGTGGCAAAATATGAATTGTGGGAAGTTGCTCTTTGCTACACATTATGGTTTGCTAGAAAAATGTAAACAAAGTTGCTGTTGAAACAATCACTTTTATTAATAATTTTGATAGCATTTTTAATGCTGCATGTTGTAACTTCTACTCAAAAGTAAATAGCAACTGATAAGTCTTTCATTGAAATATTTTTATTCATTATCAGACAAACAAGAAGCAAACAACAACATGGAACCACTGAGATCAGTGGAGGAGTCAGTAACAGCTAGATTAGGTCAGTTTATATTTCTGGTATCTGCAATGCTGTTTGTAAGTGTACCTGCACTTGTATATATTACTGCTCTGTATTACATTATGTAAGAAATCTTAAGTAACTAAGACAACAATATGTTTGTATCTCTTATCAGGGCAAACAAGTAACACAGTCATTAACGCCAAAAGATCAGTGGAGGAAGTAGAATACATCAGACATGGCAGGTCAGTTTCTTCATTATTATGTAGTGGACTAGTGTATCATGACTATAATTTTAGTCAGGAACGGATACAGAGTACCATTATTGGATGGAATTCAGCAGAGAAATCCAGCAGATTTTTGACAGGATTGTTACTAAGTTAAATGGCAGTTGTTGGTGTCAAGATTATTTGGGAACACCCAATGCTTTTTTTTTGGTGGGACAAAAAAAGTTTGAAGTTCTGAAATTTTTTTTACAAGGATTTACCAACTGGTACTTCTCCTTACAACAAGTAGTCAAAACTGTTGATCTAGATAATCGATTTTTAAAAGTTCTAGTTTCTCAGGTTTTTTAAAACAAAAGTCAACATGTTAAAAAATGTTGACTTTTGTAAGCTGAACATAGCCTGCATAGCAAACGTTACCGCATGAGAGCAAAAAATCAACAAAGTAGGGGTTGTGTGGCCAGTGAGGGAACGCTTGCCTGCTAACCCCACAATTCTGAAAAATGCCCACTAAATTTCATAGATGAGTTCATTTATTGATTGACAGCTTGTCACTGAGCACTACAGAATGACACTACTTTCAAATTGATTTAAAGCGAAAATACCTGTACCCCAAGTGTTTGGAAAAAATGAATTGCTCTCTGTTTGGATTAAGTCATAATGTTGACAAGTTTGACTAAAAGCTTTTTATAAAAATCAAATAATGGAACAACTTACCATGTGCTAATGTATTTTTCATCTGATAAGCAAACTTGCTGAAATGACAATAGCACTATCTACATTACGTACTCCTTTGTAGGGCAATAAGTGAAATGGTCAGCTATAAGAGCAGCTTTTCCTGTGGTTTATCTTTTATCATTCACTATTCACTAATTTACTATTCACTGTGTATTTGACATTAAATAAATTATATGTAAGCAAATTTGATATACTTAATCAATCAACAAGACAGCCGCACCAAGCAGGAGCCCTGTTTTTGGGTAAATGGGTTATTCAGAATTGAGGGGTTTGCGGGCAAGCGTTTCCTCGCTCCCCCCACCACCCCCTTCCTTGTCTAGTTTTTTGCTCTTTCTCCAATTTTTTTGTGGCCAGAATGCAGAAAACTTCCTTGTACTGGAACGCTACTGCCGGCTAACTGAACGGGCCTTCAAGGGCCCAGGCTCAAAATATAAATCCTCTCCACTTATTGTGATATTTTTGTGGGCTCAGAGGGTGTGAGTTGATGATTTTTTTTTCTCATAAAAAGTACTGAAACAATTTGTGAGGGAAAGATTATTGACAACTGAGATGGCTCCAAATTTTTACTGAGAAATGCTGTTTTAAACTCAACATCCTTACTGACAACTGACAGATAGCTCCAAGTTTTACTAACTGATCGCATTTTTATTTCAACATCTCAACTGACAGCTGACAGCAGATTCAAACTTTTTGATGACAAACCACTTTTTCCTTA